ACTCCTCTATCGATGTATGCAGATGTATTCAAAAGCAGTAATCTGTCAAAGTAAAATTTGCAGATGTTCATGAAAGGTATGAAGCCTTCGGCATAGCCGAAGACAGCGCTGCTCTTACTTGTTTATTTTGAATTCAAAAAATAAAAAATAAAAATAAAAAACCATGAATTGTAGAGAAGTTTTAAAGAATTCGTAGAGATCTCATCGGACTTTTTGCCGAATTTTCTAAAATGAAACAAACTATGCACATTTCGATGCTTTTACGAAATTTCGGAAGAAAATCGGTAAAGCAATGAAAATAATGCTGCTATGTGAAGAATTTCTTACAGAATTTTTTCAGAATTTTCTTTGTTTTTCGTACAGAAATTTCTTTACGAGTTCGTGTCAACCCCTTCATATAATTTTCTTTGAAGATTCGTAAAAAAATCGTAGAGATACACCTAAAGATTTCATTAAGATTTCGGTAACTTTGGTTTGCAGGGTTTTTATGTAAAAAAAAAGCAAACACAGAATAAACACAGTTTTTGTTTGTCAAATTTATTCCAAAAAAGTAAGCACAGAAAAATGTAAATACATATGTACGTTACCATGTTATCTTATCCACTTTTACAACATTTTTCACACTGCGTGCTGGCTTTTCCATTTTTACCATAGGGCGAGTCCCCATTCACTTCCAAAAAATAGTTACCATTCAAACTGTGCGGTACATCAATGCCCATGGGATACTCTGCGCCCGGGCATTTTTCTTCACGCAATCCAGTCAGTGAATAGCAACGCTTAGCCATAAAATTTCGCTCATTTCCTGGACAAACCGACTCCGCATAATATCGCACAGCGCGATGGTGTGCACAACTAACATCAAAACAACCGGGTGGCAGCGGATCAAGTCCACCTGGATAGAAGTCTGCATCGCCGAGCGGATCACGCTTCCCCAAAACACCCGAATTTGAGTGTATTACATCGACGAATTCGGCATCTCCGCGCATTAATCCAGTCAGCATCTGACCTTCGTTGAAACAGGGTTTCGCTGGATCTAAGCCAGTAATACGTGGTAGAATTTTACCGGTCTTGTAGCTGAAGTAGCGACCGGCAGCGCCGACAATGTGTGACCCCAGACTATGGCCAATGAGATGAATATTTTCAACCGGTACAACGTCAGTTAACAGCACTAGGCCTTCAGCAAGATGTTCGCCAATTTCATCGGTGTTGAATGCAGACCAGATATAAAGAGTATCGACAAAATTCGCCGCATCGACGGCCTATACATTGTATATGACAGAGAGATAGAGAAAGATAAAATAGTTTTTAGCATTATGCATTTTGCTCTTGATTAGAATTTTCGAATAGACATTAAAACATTTTCGTTCTCGCTCACTCACTCATTACCTTATTTACTCACCTCACTGGCCACATAACTTTTTCATTCTCTCACGTTGCTCTCACCCCTTTCCTCACTAACTCACTGGTTCACTCACCGCATTAGTTTTTATATCATAAAAGCTATAATTTTTAAGTGGATGCTATTTTCCAACTTCAACTTTTTTGATTTTTCCTGCTATAAAATCGTTAAAAATAAATATTTTTTGATCAAACAAGACTATTTCCCATCAGAAGTCTTCAAAAAATAGTACTCTGATGCTTATTTAACTTACAATATTTACTATGTGTGTTTTAATAGCCGATAATCCTGTCTGTTATAAACAAAAAATAGTTATTTTATGTTTTCATAACCACATCACGCACCAGCAGCTCAGTGCATGTGTTAATTTTTTTTTTGTGTATTCTACTCGATTTTTTCTGCGGGTATGTGGTAAAAAATTTTGAAAAATATGGTTGCCAGATATTTGAAAATTAAAATTGTTTAAAGGCTCAAAAACAAAAATTAAGTTTCTTCATCAAAACTAGAAGCGTTTGAAAAGATTTAAAAACATCTTTGTTCGGGGTTGCCACGTTTCTGAAAGATACAACAAATTTAAGCTAACTTAATACCATAATATGGTTATCAAGTGCAAGGTTTATGCACTAGCCTAGCAAAGGCCTTTGAAATTACACACTTTAATTCACATATATTTTTGGATGGGGTTGCCATTTATCTATAATAAAAATTTGTATAAACCATGCTACATGCGGTTGAGTAAAATCTGAGTTTCTAACAAAAGGTGTTAAAATAAGGAATAAGGGCTAAGCGACGTGATGTAGGGCAGAAGAGGACTCAATTCGTCTCCTGGTCGTAGCGCGTACCTCAAAAGTATCTATCTATAGCTTCTGGCTTCTACGAAAGGCGTTAAAGTCATACAATGACGCACTTCTGTTAAGGATTTCGATGCTTTCTCCTACAAAAAAAAAACACTTTGACAGCAGGGTAATGCAGCTCGCACATAAAGCACAGGGGACAAAATGAGCTTACCCTGTTTGGTTCCCAAGGCACAGACATTGTCGCTAGGAGAAGGACAGCACAGGGATTGGTAGGTTCAGGACATTGCATGCGTCTGTTGTCATACATATCTTGATAAAAAGGAAACTCAATAAGCACAGTAAGTACTCAAGCCCAGTCGAAAAGTGTCTACTCAGAGCAGTGCAACTTCGAAGCACATTAGATATGTGCCACTGTGAAGTCCTTACTCGGCCCAGACTTCGCTTTGTAGGATCACCATTTAAATAGCACTTATCCAAACGACTAAGCGATATTTCCTGATGATACAAGAAGCCAGAAAGGCCTGTAACCAAATAGAAGTTTACTTCAAAAGATTGTTCTTGATAGTGGTGACTAGTGAATCTAAGCCCTCCAAATCCATGTGCAAGCACCAAATAAATAGAGTCAATTTATGTACACACATATATGTATACAAATATTTTAGATGCCTAATTTTTGGTATCATTTATATTATGGCTCTTTTGCACGTACCAGATTGTAATTTCAATCATCACACCTGAAGCTACTTATTAAAGAGATTCGACTACTTAAATTTCAATATCTAGCAAAATTTAGATTCAAACGCCCTTTATTCCACAAAATTCAGACATTTTAGTAATTCTTACGTTTTAATGCGTTTTTCTATGTGTTCACATTTTTACTTACTCACCACAAAATTCACATCACCACGGCAATTGTAAGCGTTGCCAATCGTATCGATTGCACTATTATTTTCGATTGTTGTCGTCCAGCCGGTAGCCAGTATGACAACTTTTTTTTTCGGATCAAAATGTGGACTATGCCAAATTTCATTAGCTTTTAGTAATGGATAACTGTAGTTTTTGCAGGCGGTGCGTAATTGAAAATTCATTTTCGTCAAATCTGGCGTCACTCGCGGTGTTATCGTTTCAGCTGCGACTACCTTGGAGCCTAGAAAGCAAGCGATTCAAAAATAAAGCAAAAAAAGCGGTGTAAAAAGCCAGCAGCGGAGTTAATTCCCGATTCAAGACCACTTAACGTGAAGACTTACAAATCGTATTTATGGCCGAGGATACCAGTTCGAAAGGATAACCACCCAATACATTTTTGCTCGCCTCAAAAATGCCATCGGGTGTTGGTATTAAATTCGGCACCTGCTTAGCTACTCCCTCAGCGACGTTCCCAATGCCTCTGCCCACATCTTTTACACCTTCTGGTATTGAAAAAATACTACTAGCGCCTGTGGTCAGATTGGAGGCGGCGCTTTTTAAACTGCTTCCAACTTCCTTTATACCAAAGGCGTACAGTCCATTGGTGCTTACAGCTAGCAATATAAATGCTAAGCCCAGCGTGTTGAAGCGCGACATTCTTTCGAATTTTTATTTTTATTTTATTTTTTTCCAAATAACTATTTTCACATAGTCATTTTCACACAATCACTGCACACAATGCTGCTTTGTTTTGTGTAAAACTATTCGCGTGTGCCATGAACAGCTCTTATTTATACAAATGTCGAGCATCATGTTTTGTAAAGAAGCACCAACAATGCAAACTCACATAAATAAACAAATCGAAAATCTTCTCATTAGTGATTGGCTCCCGCTCAAGCTTACAGTGCCGTTGTACGGGTAGATAATCGACAGTCGTGAATACAAATAATAGCATAGTGATAGTCGTCTAGCTGTTATACGAAAGAGAAACGGCTAAATTGTAGCTATTGATGACAACCATTTCTGGTATTTTTTTAAACAGAAAATAAGCCATAATTTCATTTCAAATTTTGAAACATACGGGACATAAAAAAAAAAAGAAAATTAAATTCGCCTTTACAAATTTCTCGAGCGTTTTTAATATTTTCTGCGCTCTTTTTTTAATTTTGCTGAACATTTTACAAAATTTTCGAAAGTTTTCCATACTTTGTAAGGATTTTACCAAATTTTTAAAGAGTTTTAAATATAGAATGTTCATATCTTTTTGTCTGTTTCCGCGACGGTTTGGTTCGAAGAAGTGAAGCTTTTAATAAATTTCAGAATCTTTCGGTGTAATTTATTCATAATTAATTGGAAAGGTTCTTGTTCAATAGATTTTCGGGAATTTCGAAAATAGTGGAAACTTTTTAACAGTTTGTTCGCTGTATTTTGGGAATACTGAGAAACCTCGTTTTTCTTCGGAGTAATTCTTAGTTTTTGATGAAATTTGTGAGCATCCTTTTTTGAGATTTTTTTCTGAAATTGCTTCAAATTTTTTTCCATTTTTTTAATTTTTCTATTTTTTATTTTTTTTTTCTGAATTTACAGCATCTTTTTCGAACTTGTGGCACTGACAATTTTTGATTTTTTAGGATTTATCGGCATACTTTTCGAAGATTTCTATGATTTTCGAAGATCTTTTTTAAAAAGTCTTTGACATGTTGGGTTTTTTTCCAGCAATCATCTGCATTTTATCAGGGTTTGTGGGGTATTTAAAGTTTTTGTTTTCCTATTACATTGTTACTGACCTTGTCGGTGATAATTATGGAAAATTCGGATTTTTTTTTCAGATTTTTCAAAACGTTTTGAGGGTTTTTTATTTAATGTGGAAATTTTTTACCAGATTTTCAGGTGATTTTTTATAATGATTTTATGTTAAGGATCATTTTTTCCATTATGATTAAAATTTTGGAAACGTTTCATGATTTTTCAGAAATATTTTAAAATTTTTTCGCAACTCTTTTTTTTCAATTATTTGGTGTTTTTCTTGCAGTTTCTTTTTGAGACAATTCAAATGTATGACATGTTTCATGACTTTTCAGAAATTTTTTAAATAAGTTTCGGCTGCATTGTAAAAATACACTTGACAGATCTCAAATTGTTTGACCTTGACAAAATGTATTGATCTTTATTATGGGTCCTACTTTGCTCTTTTAGTTCCAAAAAAGAGATAAAATGCAGCAGAGGCTCATTAAAAACTATGTGATGTTCATAACAACTCTCACATTATTGTCAAGCCCGCTATATGTCGAAAATTTCGTGGTTAATTTTTTCGACTAGCAATTCCCGAAATTACATTTTCACTATTTTAAGCGCAACTGTATGCTCTCTGTGCATGCATACATACGTATACATACGTACCTGCTCTCAGAATTTTCGCCACTGGTTTTCCTTTTTTGTTGTCATAGCACAAATGGAATCCCAAATAAGGTAGGTAAAACACTTTTCGAATTTTTAATGTAAATTTGATTAACTGCTGCAATTGCATTACCTAATGGGCGAAGCGTTTCACGTTTGTGACAGTTTCTGCTACTTATTTTTACCAGATTGAGGGAAGGGGATGAGGAAGAAGAATAAAAGCGAAATTCGTGAATTGGCATCTACAATTAATAAAAAGAGATTTAAATTTATTGTATTAAAATAGATGATAATGCGGGAATTTCAATTTATATGGATATGTAAACTATGTAAGTAAATGCAAGTATTTTTAAGCAAGCATGTGAACCTGTATGCTATGTAAAGTGTGTTCATATCGCCTAATTCTAAGATATCCATATGTAATATGTAAAGGGCGGGTCATTTTTTTCTTTTACTATGCGCGTATAGCATAGGAGGATTCAGAAATTTTCAGAACCCATGTGTGTAAAATCACTTTAGAGTTTGATAAATTGAGAAAATAGGGTTAAAAGAAAATGTGAAAATTTTCACTGTTGCGCCCTCTGGTGGAAATTTAAAAAAAAAAAGTTAAGTGCAGAAATGAATTACTACTCATATCAAAAAATCCCTTATAGCATGTTTTCATACAAAATTTAAGCACTTCTCTACGATATTACAGCAGAATGCTAAAAAGAGCTTTTTTCGCGATTGGCAAACTCCAAATTGAGTTTACACGCAAATTTTCTTATAATTACACGTAAAATATTTCTATGCTGTACTTGCATAGTCGAAAAAATCTCCTATGCAAATAGACCCGCCCTAGTATGTACATATAAAGCAATAACTAGTTTTGCGCCAATAGTGTGAAATGTTGATTACTTTTCAACTTTAAATTGCTTCCTGAATTCCACGATATTTGGACTCATGAAGTAAAAAGGAATAGCTTTGAAACATATCAAATATTTCCGGCCATACATATATTAGGTATACATATGTGATGCTTTCTATTTCAAGACAAACGGTCAGGTTCTTTTTTTTTGGCTCGAAAATATTTTTTAACCGACTTATAAGATATTTTGTTTGTTAGATAAAAATCGATATCTGGGGATTTTTTCACATGCCCATAACTTTCTCAAAAAATAATTGATTTCAACCATTTTTTTCGAAATTAAATTTTGCAAAAACTATACTATTTTCATCATTTTCACCAGAAAAGAGGCACTTAGAACTACAATCGAGCGGAATCCTTAGTAGCTAACAATTTTTTCCGGATATATGATTTTTTTAGTAAAAACACATTTTTGAAATACTACATACTGCAATGTAGTCAATAATTTGCACACGAAGTCTATTATTTATTGTTATTACTTTTAGAATGGGTACTGCATTTGTTAGGGAGATAGGTAAATTGGTGCACCTGCATTGTAATATGTATCTCAAAAATGTGTTTTAACTAAAAAAAGATCATATCTCGAAAAAATAGCTTCTAGGGATTCAGGTGGGTTGTAGTTCAAAGTACCTAGTTTCTTGTGGAAAAATATGAAAGAAAAAAATATAGTTTTGCAAAATTAGATTTTCGAAAATTTTTTATGAAAATAAATAAAAAATTTATAAAAATAAAAATCGATAATTTTATCATTATATCTTGAAGTGGCACCAATTACTAACATTTGTGCGAAAAAGAGTTTGAAATTTATTATTTTTCATGTAAAGTTATGGGCGTTTGAAAAAAAATTCCTAGATATCGATTTTTATCTTAAAAACAAAATAGCTTATAAGTCGGCCAAAAAATTGCTTCGAGCCGAAAAACAAGTGCTCCAGGAAAAACCAATCTCGTTTTATTTCGTCGAAATTTTGTTGACAACAGTGGCGCATTAAAGTGGCAAAATTTTAGTTGCGGACTGAAATATGATATTTTGATGATATTTTAGGTTAGGTTAGGTTGGTCGGCGGATGATATTTTAAAGCCATGAAAAAATTCTCGCGGTAAATTTTATATTTTTTTTTATTTTTACGAAGCGATACTTTAATTTCCCAATACCAGGCGCTCATGCATATGAAGTAGCAAGTTTTCTATAACTTTTTAATTCGTTTGTAGAAGCCTTTGAAACTCAAAAGTAGAATTTTGGAAATTTAAAAATTTATACAAACAATTTTGTGCGTAGAAACAGAAAACTTGTTACTACACATTTATGAGCGCCAGGTATTGGGAAATGAAAATATCGTTTTGATAACGAAAAATCTGGATATTCGGATAGCCGAATATTATCTCAGTTTCCAGAGTAACCGGAGTTTTCATTTAGGTATCCGGATATTCGAATATTCGGTTTATCCGGATAGTTGAAAAATCCGGATGAAGTTCCCAGCCCTAAATGCATGTAATTTAATGTATAAGCTAACTTTAATCATAATTTTTGTCTTCAAAGAGTTATAGTAAAATTTACCGAAAATTTTTTTTATAGGATATTTTAACCTCTCAACTCCTACCATAATGGGCCTTTTCGGCACTTATTTGGAGGGAGAACCGCTAAGTGGTTAAAATGTTCCACAGAACTTTAAAGCAGGAAATTTTACTAGGGTACACTGAAGATGAAAAAATACTCTATCGGGCTATTACCGTTTCGATTCTAGTAATGCATTTTAAGGTGCCCCTCAACTTTTTTTTTCAAATGTCAGTTAGGCTACTCTGGCCAACAAGGCCCCCCATATGTAGGTGAACGAAATCTAGGATGAGAAAATAATCTCGCTGCATTATTTTAGCCACTCATGGAAACAGTTATAAAACGAATGACAAACAAATTCTCACTACAGCAACATTAGCATTCACAATCAACAAATCAAAATAAATTAACACAGAATTACAATCTACAACAACTAAATCTTCCGACTGTGCTATGTATTAAGTATTGGAGTGAATATCAAATGAACAGCCGGCGATTGCATGCGTCACTGCGCACGCCGCTTAAGGCGTTTCCCGCCAACTGCTTTGAATTTTAATGCCTGCTGTTAATAAGTTTATAATAAACAAATATTTGTAACATGAATTATATCGAGCATACAAAACACGCTCTTTATACCTCACACAGCTGCTGATGAGTACTTACTTGCTGATAAGTAGCAATGAATGTATGTATGTATGTATGTCATGTAGGTAAACACAATTATGGAACATGGAGTTCGTACGTTTATCTATGGGTAGTGAACAAAGAAGGTACATAGTACATATTTAAGTACATATGTAAATAAAGCGAACAGAAGCAAAACAATCAAAATGTGTAGTTGTTTGCACATCTGTGGCTATCAGTACAAGTGTTTATGTCAATTATTCATTAATTTGGAAGAATGATAG